AATGGAGAGCAGCGAAGGGGGTCGGACGACGCCAGCCAATCCCAGGCCCGGTCCCGCCCCTTCTGCTGCCGAGCCCCGAGAGCTGAGGGACGGAGGTCCGTGACTCTGGGGTCTCGGGAACCCGGGGACGAGGGAAGACACCGTGTTCCTTAAGAGGGAGTATACGTTTCTTCGCCATCTATCCAATGGAGATGCCTCTTCCCTACTTAACAGGAACAGGGAAAGGGTGTCCCCCAGCCGTACGGTTGCCCCTCCTCTTCCTGGGGGCCCGCACGTGTTACAGGAAGTGGGTGGGGGTAATATGGAGGGGCTTCCGGCAGGCCCCGGCGGCTGAAAGCCGGGGCAGAAGTGCTGGTCTCGGTCGGGATTCCGGGCTCGGTCCCGCCGAGGCGGCGACTGCGGTAGGAGGGAGGAGGTTTTGGACGCGCTGGCCCCCCGCCGCTGTGCATTGCAGCGTTATTTCAGTTCAAAATGAACTATATGCCCGGCACCGCCAGCCTCATCGAGGACATTGACAGTGAGTAGTTCATCTCCTCCCGGTGGAGCCTGGGGTGAGACCCTCCCGGGCGGGCGCCTCTTCCGAAGAAGCTTGTAGAATGAGTCCCGGGCGGGGCCGGTGTGTTCTGAGCTCAATCCGGGCGTTCCGCGTCGATGTCCTCCACAGCTGCGGTACACACCGCTTGCCCACCCAGTAGCCTGCTACTTGTTCTGCCTCTCGCAGCCTCCGCCAGCCCTCTGGCTGGTGAGCCTCAAGCGATGGAACTCATTCGTACTTTCGTGGGTCGCGGCAGCAGAGGCCCGAACACGAAAGAGGCCTGGGGTGGGGGGGGCTTCTCCCCCGTCCCCTCCTGCCTGCAGTATTTCGAAGTATCAGCGTGTTACCGGTGGATGGATCGGAATACCTAGAGAAAGGATTCATTAAAAAGCAAAAATATTAAGACAGCAGCAGTTGGACTGAATTGGCAGTAAACGTAGGCGCTCTACGGTGTGGCCATTTGCTAGCTTATTTTACTGTGAGGGTCATTAGCACCTTCAGGTTATTGTAGTAGAGACCACTGTTAGGCATGGTATTGACTTTTCTGGAAAATCACTTGCAACCTTTTTTTTTTTTTAAGACAATTCATTTTTGCTTTTACTAAGAAGACCTCCTTTATTCCTAGTTTTTGTCCGGAAGAGGAGCTCAGTCCTATACAAAAGCGGAAAGAACCGCCTGCAGTTGTCCGGGCTTTCATTTTTTCTAAATTCTATCTGTGCATTATTCCTCAAGCAACATTTTGTATTGTTTTAATCACGTGATCTTTCTCATTAACTTACTGTTTCAAGATGATTTACACATGGTTTTAAACAAGTTGCAATCGTCTCAGTTACTCTGTGAATATACGATTTAGAATATATGGTTAAAATTTCGTTTTATGGGCCTGGCGGGGTGGCTCACGCCTGTAATACCAGCACTTTGAAAGGCCGAGGCGGGCAGATCGCCAAAAAAAAAAAAAATCTGTCAACCATAAAATGAAATTTTTTTTTTTTTTTTTTTGAGACAGAGTCTTGCAGTGGCGCGATCTCGGCTCACTGGAACCTCCACCTCCCGGGTTCAAACGATTCTTGTGCCTCAGCCTCCCCAGTAACGGATTACAGGCGCCTGCCACCACGCCCAGCTAATTTTTGCATTTTTTAGTACAAACGAGGTTCGCCATGCTAGCCAGGCAGGTCTCCCAACTCATGACCTCAGGTGAGCCACCCACCTTGGCCTCCCAGAATGCTGGGATTACAGGCGTGAGCCACCGCCCCCGGCCAACAGATAGTTTTTTTAACCCAGATTACTTATTTTGCTATGTAAGGGAAATGTAGTGTAATTGGACTAAATACATATTAACATCTATATGAACCTGTTATGTGTAACAGGATGTTTTAATTGCTTGAGGATGCCCTTTTGCCCTCATCTCTCATATATCCTCTAACACATCCTGCCATTTTACTAAAAATCAGTTTTGCTGTTTGGCCCTCTAACCCCTACCACTTTGTAGATTCCAGACCCCCCACTTTATGAAAACTTGGAAACCATTTGATATGCACCCTTTGCTCCCCCACCCAAACACACAGTTTCCTGCCTGTCTTTCTGTATTTCCACCCATCCTCTAATTTCAGTAGGAAGGATTCCTCCCTTTTTGTTGTCTGTTATTACTGTCTCCTCTCACTGCTTCTGGAACCTTTTTTCATTGTTACCCTTTTTCTTTCATATCCTCTGTCTCCCCAACCCCTGCGTTCTTCCCCTCATATGTGTTATTGTCTATCCATCTCAAATATTTTCTCCGTTCTCTTCATCATATTCCCATCCGTTTTTTCATATCTTTATCCCCAAATCTCGAGTCATTTTCATTTTGTCTGTTTCCTTATCACCTTCAACAGACCACTTACATTACTCCTGCAATCTAATTTTTATCCTGAACACACTAGTCAAGCTGCATTCTTCAAAGTTATTCGTCTAAGGCGTTCTTCTGTGTTCTCTCCCCTCTGCAGCACTGTGATACTGTCCCCACCAGATTCTGGAATTCTCTTCTCTTGATTTCTCTAACAACTGGTACTTGGTGATTTTCTTACTTCTCTGGCTCTTACTGTTCTCCAATATAGATGGTCACTTGGATGCCATGTGGCCTACTTCTTTAAATCTTTAGGAGATCTCCTGTACTTTAGTAATTGTATATCACCTCTTTGCAGATTTATCTAAAATTGCTTTCTCTAATCTTGACGTCTTTGGCTTTCCAGTCTTACTGTTTCCAGCTATCTGCGTATGTTTCTGTTTAAGTGTCCTGATAGCACTTTAGAATCACAAAGAGCTAATAACCTTCACCCTGAGCTTGCTGCTTTTATTCCCAACTCTTGGTAAATAGTTTTGTGATGTCTCATAAAACTCCTACATCTTTACCTCACATCTTTAGCACCCCACCCTCTCACACATACCCACTTACACAAACTCAGTTAACAGACTCCATCACTTTATGTTTTCTTGTTCCCTGTGAAGTCAAATCTAAATGCAGCCTGTCCCCAGTACTTTTCTGACTTTATCTACTGTTCTTTCCCTTCACAGCCTCAGCTTTTAGCTAAACATGGATGTATGGCCCTTTTATTCCTCCTCTTTAATTTACAGATTTCCTTCTCCCCCCAGCTTCCTATCACTCTTCCCGTGCCCTAAAATTATCTGCATTTCAAGGTCCAACTCTGATACCTCCTTCAGAAATATAGCTTCTATCTCTGTAGTCTCATATAATTAAGATTTGCTTTCTGTGGTACTTATTTATAGTCCAAGGAAGAGTATAAATTCCTTCAGGGCAGAGTCACTGTGTTTTCCTCTGTTCTGCATCTAGAAGGTACTTTAAGCATGGAATGAAAGAAATTTTGCTGGGTGTGTTAGTAACTGGCTTATTCTCATTCTTCAGTGTCAGCTCAAAGTCACCTCTTCGGAGAGGCTTTCCTTTGCCACCCTTCCTTCTGTAACCACTTCTCTCCTTTCATCATACTGCCTTGCTAGTTTATTATTCCATTGTCCTAATCACAATAGGTTATTTTCTTGTTTATTTGTCCTCCTCCACCATGAATATAAATTCATAACATTGGTGACTTTCTAAGTCTCATTCTCTACTGTATGTTTAGACCCCAGCACAGCACATGCCCTCTCAGTAAACATTGAATTTCTGCTCTAGCTTATTATTAGAGTCTTCATTTTAAATACCTGAAGCATTGTGTTTTTATTTAAAGCCTTCCCTGGTTACAAACAAAATGTGAGATAGAAGCTCGTCTTTTGAGGACAAAATAATTCTATAAATAAGATCATAAGAATCATCTAGACTGTATTTGTCAATTTACAGATATAAAAACTGACATGACATTGAAATGGTTTAAGTGTCAAACATAAGGGTCTTTGGCTAGGCGCCGTGGCTCACACCTGTAATCCCAGCACTTTGAGAAGCCGAGGTGGCCGGATCATCTGAAGTAGTCAGGAGTTCGAGACCAATCTGGCCAACATGGTGATACCCCATCTCTACTAAAAATACAACAATTAGACAGGCATGATGGCGAACTCCTGTAGTCCCAGCTACGAAGGAGGCTGAGGCAGGAGGATCGCTTGAACCTGGGAGGCAGAGGTTGTAGTAAGCCGAGATTGTGCCACTGTACTCCAGCCTGTGTGACAGAGTGAGCTAAGTCAGGCTTCCTGATGCCATGCCCTGTCCTTTTCCCACTCTGCCACACTGCTCTGATTCTTCTCACCACTGATGTTATATAAATCTGGATTGCTGTGCTGCTTTCTTCAGTTTTCCAGTGAACTTGAACTTCACCTTAAATGCATTGGCAGAGGAAGTGGTACAGCTTAAACTGTTATTTATTTTTATTATCCTAAATACTCACTGAACTTGTCAGTTTTCATTTAAAAGACTTTTTCCCCTCTCCCCAGAAAAGCACTTGGTTCTGCTTCGAGATGGAAGGACACTTATAGGCTTTTTAAGAAGCATTGATCAATTTGGTATGTATTAATTTATGGACATCTCTCATACTGATAATAACAGCTTCCCACTGCATTTTTTGTTATTTAATATTGAAATTTATCTGCAACTTTTTCACATGTGTGACTTAGTAGGACTGATGTTAGTGAGTGTATCATTGTTTTCTATACATTCAGATTAGGTTGTTCAAAGCTTATATATATTTCCAAGTTCATGTTTCTAAAACTGGCTTTCACTAGAATCCCCAGTAGGGGGAGCCAAATGATAAAAATAAACTCAGTCCACCGAAGAGGCTGCTTATCTTGTTTTGTTTTGTTTTGTTTTGTTTTTTTGAGCTCTCACTCTGTCACCCAGGCTGGAGTGCAGTGGCACAATCTTGGCTCACTGCAACCCCCGCCTCCTGGATTCAAGCGATTCTTGTGTCTCAGCCTCCCAAGTAGCTGGAATTATAGGCTCCAGCCACCACACCCAGCTAATTTTTCTATTTTTAGTAGAGATGGAGTTTCGCCCTGTTGGCCAGGCTGGTTTTGAACTCCTGACCTCAGGTGATCCACCCACCCAGCTGAGCTGGACAGTTGTTCTGCTCCTCATGGCTCTAGGACAGTCGCTTGGTGTCTAGAAGGTGAGTCGGCTAGTTTGAAGGAGCTTCACTCACATGTCTGGTGCACTGGTGGGGACAGCTGGAAGGCTGGTCTTAGCTCCCATAGTGCTGGGATGACAGGCGTGAGCCACTGTGCCTGGCCCAAGGCTGCTTATTTCTACATTGGCAGGGTACAGTGAATTCAGAGCAATTCCAGAAGTGAAGGTAATCCCTCCCTAGCCAATGAAAATTGGGTAGAAGGCATTTCCTGTATTTTAAGGACCCCA